ATATCGATTTTGAAAAGAGAAATCCTCAGACGGTATGATAGACACACGACTACCTTAGTAGGTATTTTCTGCATATCATTCCATTCCTATCAAAGTAATGATTTTTAAGCAGAAAACGTTGCTCAAAACAGACTTTTATGATTTGGTAAGCGTGATGTTATCTGAACCATTTGACTCATTCTAAAAACGAGATACGTTTACAAATGTTACCAAAAATTCTTTCTTCAGTTGTATATAAATATATATTTAGTTTTTCGATGGTTCAAATTTTTGTGTTTTACCAATAGCTGAAATAAAAAAAGAAAACATTTTTTTTTTCACGGAAGTCATATTATTTTTCTCTAAGTTATATTTTCAAGATAATTGCTTTTAACGATAAAATTCCATACTCGAAAATAGCGGAAAATAGACCCCTTTCCACTAAAAACAAAAAAACAAAAGGGTTAACTATTGTATATGTCGATTAGACCTATTGGAGATACGTGTAATAACAATATATTTATTATATTTCTTATAAATCATAATACATCTATATTTCCTCATCACTATCCCCCCAGAACAAACATAACTGAATTAATACTTAAGTAGAAAAACAGGTTGATTAGGGACGAGTGAATTAGAGCGCTATTGAACACGAGAGGAATACGAAAGCCCATCGAGGAAGTGTTAGCAAAACAAAGACCTCACTCCATGTACCTTGATATCCCGATAAGATTCTATCGGGAGTCCGGGGGCGGAATCCTTATTGTTAGCTGACGAATGTTGATCAAAGATTTTCCGTTTTTGTTGACTTTAACAGTCTATTGTTGAACTACTTACCTTTTTACAATGCTAAAGGTGATATGATAATCACCTTATCGGAACTGTATTATTAGAATCAGTCTTGATGGACTTGTCTCAATATGGCTAACATCAATCGCGTCCGTCGTAAACGTGTTCTGAATGTTTTGGCAATTGTTCTCGGAAAGCATGCCCATCGAACAGGTGTAGAGCCTAACGATAATGGGTGTTAATAGGATCGTTTTTTGTATAATTCGATCAAGATTTATTGGTATTTCTGTAAATAAGTGTCGCGTGTCTTAACAGCATGATTCCAACGCCTTATATACGAAATCAAATACGTATGATGGTATCTGTATAAAAATACACTCACATAATTAAAAAGGTAAACTATACAGAATCTAATTTATTTTGCGACTATATAAATACAATACAAACAGAATAATGCCTTTATCAGATTGTTTGTAAATTAACATGTTATTTCTATTATTTTTGTTTCTCGTGATTTCAAAATATTTCAAAACGTTCTTATTTTATTTTAATCATGTTTATCATTTCAACCACTATTGTAGATTATATATTGATAGGATAGAATTAAAAAATAGTTACTTTTTCTCCTTTCTTGACAATGTCTGAATAGAATGTTAGTATCTTGCGTAATCGATTAAAGAAAAAGTATACTAGTCATATTTATGAAACATTTTCACATTCTAATATCGTCAATTCTACAGAATTGTGATTTATCGTAGAATATCCATTCACTTCATTTTTGTCAGAGCCTGTATTATAAAAAACTATGAAATGTTTTAAAACGATGTTTGTAATTAATGTGTTATTTTCCCTGGGTGTTACGATCCAGCCTATGATGAGGACAAACCACTATCCATCATCCATTCCTATGAGCGTTTGCCAGTTCAGTCGTTTTAACCAATTATGTTTCAAGTACTAGCTGATAAGATTACAGTTCAAAGATAAGGCCAATGTAACCAATAAATCAACGGAAAGGTGTCCAGGGTTCAGGCAACCAAGACATTTTTGAAATCACGATAAGGTTTTCGATGCCGCAAAATATTCCTTAAAGATTATTTGAGTTAGAGAAAGATGAAAATGTTAGTAGCATAGAGCACTGACCTTGTATCTTCTGGGCTGTATTTGGAGGGTTTCATCCATTGAATACCGCGAGAACTGACAGGAAAATTGGTGTATTTTAAAGCCAGGATCCTCTTGAGAGAAATTGCTCACTTCATCGCTGATATTTCATTTCCTTATCTCCTTTCTGTTGGAGCTATCAAAAGTTTAGAAATCAAACTAGGAATCTTCAAGATTTTCTTTCCATTTGTCAGGATTTTAAGACTCTATGTTTGAATATTCATTCAATGTAGTTGAACGATTTTACCAATAGCTAATCAAGTCAAAATAATGAAATCAACACCAAGAGGGAATTCTTTAACATTTTGTTTATTTTTGAGCTCACTGCAAACAATTTGACTAATTGATATTCTCAGAATCGATGAAGACAGCGTGTGGTCGTCAAGGGGGGCCCCAATGGACTGCATGCTGCACCTCACCTGACAGCCAAGTGCTGTCATTAGTTTTATGGCCTCCCACAGGAGACAAAGATCGTAAAACTTGGCATATCAATAAAAGGTGTAGAGCCGTCAGTGTGAAGACTGATATCTCCTTTTGTATCGGATCCATGTACGTGTATAAATTACTTATAAACGTGTAAATATTGAAAGGGTTGTGATGATAGGTCGGTAATTGTTTTAGATGACTGTGATCAATCACTTTCTCAATTGGGTGACAAATTACTCTCCATCACGCATGAGATCGTTTACCTGTATAATGTAACATTTATTTTAACTATTAGGACAATTTTATCCATTTATAAGTCATTTATTAACTGTATTTAGTAGCAAATAATTTTATTTTTCATTCCATAAACATTCGGTTTTTTGCAAGCTTGTATTAATTGAAAACGAACATCATTTGTACAGAACTTTCATAGCATGTCATTTTGGGAAAGATATAACGTGGTTTAAATGAAGTGTGATGATTAAATGTAATACGAAAATATATATTAACGTTGGAAATTTTCTATCAGAATCAATATCTGTAAGTTCATTGAAGATTTTATGTACTGTGAAATAAGTGAAATGTAAAAAATATGGACATATATGTATTATTGATACAAATATAGAACACATTTATATAAGTGTTTTATTTCTAGAGATACGATAAAATATTAATATATATGTTTTATTGCCACAAATATGAATATATATATATATATATATAACATTTTTATTGCTTCAAATATGAAAACTATATGAACGTGTTAGTTTTGTCTACGAGTATGATAAATATTAATGTAAGCGTTTTAACGCTACAAATGTGATACTTTGCCAGGAATAATGGAAAGTTACTGTGTGTATTTTGTTTGTAGATGGATATATACATTCGAATACTGCATGTAATGTAAAATATTTCTGCTCTCAAATGACATTGATTAGAAGACCAGTTACTTTACAGATAACAGTAATAGTTTTTGGATTAGATAATTCGTTAGAATTCTTTTTAAAGAGATTCGGAAATTAAATGAAACATAATTTATTAATGTTGCATGCATTGTATTTTTTAAAATAATGACTGTTTTTTTAGATTTCGACTATTTGCAATATTCATTTCATTACTTGTTTAAGATTTTAAAATTATGTTCAATATTTGTCCAACAAATTTTGCAGTTCTTTTGTTACCATATCCAATATTTCTATGTAATTTTCTAAAACATTTTGAATCATGATTTATTATTTATGTCAGAGAAAGTAACCTACATTATACTATATGAAGATTCCATATAAGCATTATTGATTTGTATCAATGCTTTCTGCAAGCGTACGTTTATGTTATTCTGTAAATAATATTAATTTGGTTTTGTATCAGAATTATTGTACCCATACTGCTTATGACTTTTATTTTATTCGGGTGGTATCTGTCTACTAGCATATAAGACTCCTTGGAATCGTAATGAAAAATATGTTTCCCGTTAACAGCAACAAAATTATCACAATTAAAAGTATCAATTGATATGGAGAAGGTGAAAAATGTCTTATTTTCATAATGAATGTATGGATGTTTTCATCGAAATACCTAATATATTGAAATATATTTTTCGTTCCGAACACTCAATTCGATTAGTGCAAAGGTATTCTATGCATCTTTCAGTAGAGTAGATTTTAGGGAAGTAGATTACCAAAGAAACATCAGTGATGCTTTGCAATTTATCATGAACAACTAGTTTCACACACATCTGCAAAAATCGTATATGTAATAAATAGTATGGATAGTCTTCGGTGATTTATGTACGAGTCACTAATCTACTAGAGGTCTTTCAGAATTGATGGAGTTCTAACATAAATAACTTGTGACACAATAAAGTCATTGAAAAAAACTCACTACAACAAGCACATTTACCATCTTCAGTTAATTATTGCATCAGTTAATGTTTGAAATAAATAACTATGTAGTCTTTAATACAGAAAACTTACAACAGAATATTTTTTAATATTATAGGATTTCTATAGCGTGCAGTTCTGCTGCTTACAATTAGTCGTAACTAATGCAATTAAATAATGACAAAACAATATAAAATCTAATTGTTTTATTTCACATTTAAAACGGGTAAGGTTAAAAAGAAAAAGACAATATGTAGAAAGACATTTTCAAACGATACACATATTACCTGTTCAGTAAGGCCTGCTAGCTTCACACATAAACAAAACACCGGTTTATCATCCCCTGAAGATATAGAAGTGTGTCTTTGCTATGATAAAATTAATAAAAATCGTTTCATGTTACCGACATTTAGCTACAACTTTCTAATCACAAGAAAGCTTCCATACGCAGCCGTCAACGTACACAATGTTAACAAATAAAAGTCGTTACACGCGAGACGGACCAATCATAATGGGTTTAAGTGTAAAGTATATGAGATAATAGATAAAACACTCTCTGTATCGCTCATTGCTCCAGGCGGCTTAGGACCCGTGCCCACGGCCGCTCGTCTGGTGTGATCCATGACAGCTCAGATATAAACGGCTTTCTGATTGGTCGCCTATTATCACGTGCCATGTTGATATAGAAAATGGGGTGGTCTGGCTTGCCTAGAGTATGTGAAGTAAACGAGCAGAAATTATTTACAACCAAATCACCGAAAATTAATGATCATGAGTTCGTTTTTGATGAACCCGGGACCGTACACTGAGCCTAAGTTTCCACCGACGGACGAGTATTCACAGTCAAACTATATTCCTCCTCATAGCTCGGAATATTATCGTCAAACTTATCAACCACAGATACCTAACTATGGTTATGATCCCATACAGGACAACAGGCGATACAGCGATGACAAATATACTCCGAACCTCTATAATGGGTGTGGAGGAAGTGATTCTGTATCCCCCACCCATCCCTCGTCCCCCGCGCCAGCGCATTCAGGAGGGGGACCTGGAGGTGGTATACTGAGTGGATTCAGTCAGCCAGCAGCACCCTCCCCAAGTCCCCCTGCTGTACCGTCACCTGATGAACAACCTTCAAAAATGTCACAAAGTAGTTCTTGTGTAGAACAAGACTCTGATGGACAACCAGTTATTTATCCATGGATGAGAAAAAGTCAAGGAAATAATCCCGCAGGTAAGTCAATGTATCCTATAAAGTTCTGTGTGTACAACACTAGAGTTAGTGTTGACGCCTACAATAATACACAGCTGTCGCAATCATTTCATATTCCGGCTCTCAGTGGGGTTTCAGAGCTGTGGAAAACTCTTATTCATGTAGAATTAACTGTCTGTAAAACAAAACCGGATCTCGAAATGTATTCACTTATGTGACGTCATTATCAGAGGTAATCTTAATCACCGTGATTGTTATTGTGTTTCCTGAGGCGGCGAAGGTATCGAATTTGTCAAATAAACTTTAAATCGTTACAGATATGCGTTCAGCGTTAGGACGAAATACTTTAATACATAGTTAAACCTCCAATACTTACGGTATCAAATTAAACATATAATGTCACTTTTCAAATAAGTAGCACAAGATATCTTTAGTACGAAGGTCATTAGAAAAATAGAATCAGAAATGATTTAAAATGTTCAATAGATTACAAGGACATGTTCCATTAGATATTTGTTCATTAACATAGTGAAGCGTTTGTGTACCTGAAGGAAGACTTGTCTAACAATGACACTTCAGATATGGTACACACATGTAAAAAATCTTCAATTTATCTCACGTAAAAATACATAAAGAATGTTTGAGCACGTTTTTAAGTATAATAATGAATACATGATTATACAGTTTAATGTAAATCAAGTGACCGGAGGTGTGCTGTCTTGAAATTTGCATTTCCTCTTGACCCTTAAAATATTTAATTCATTAAATTCTATCTTTAACATACCAGGAAAATCCCAAAGTTCATTAGATAAATTTTATTGCAAAAACAATAATGTTATTAAATTAATTTGAATTCAGTAAATTGTTAATTTTCTTTTATATATTCACATATGAAATTAATATCAGATATGTGAGTCAAAATTTAAAATTTTAAAACTTTGAAGTTTAGATTCAATGTATTCCCACTTTGAAATTGAGGAAAATGCGACATCATTTATGATATTTCTCAACAGTTTCCTCTAATCAAAAATAAATGTATTGATAAATATTAACACGAGAATCAGATATGGTGTAAGGGGTATTCATCATTACCTTATGATTTGGTGTTAACGATGAGAGTTTTATGTGTATCTAACAGTTTTAAAGGGCCCTAGACACGTGTAAGACTCATACATCAGATTGTGATGGGACGATAATAGTTACAGATCGCCTATAAAGTTTAATTATGGCCATGAAACCTCACCTAGGTGCACGCCCCTCATGCCCCGGACAGGCGCGGGCTAGCAGATTAGGGCTGACACAAATAGGGGATTGTCGATAAAGGATCCAATACAGTTACACAACACAGTTGGTTATGCGTTAGTAACAATTGTGTCAGTTCTGAAGATACAATAATGCATTGTCAATACTGATTTTATCGGGATGGAAAATGAAATAAATGAAAACAAAAATATTTCTTAATGTCATTTCGATTCATTAATTGATCTTATCTTTTTATTTTTTTTCTGTAAATTATATCAATTATTTAATACATTTACGCATGATTTTTAATGGTATCAATATTTTCCCTCATATTATGCTTCGAGCTTATTCTATAAACATTTTCGCTCTTTAGGAAAAAAACACAATTTTATATAATTATTGAATTCACCTTTCCTGATTTAACAACATAGCTAGGACATTAATTCAATAACACATTTAGTACAAACGTTTGATTCAGCTTTTTAAAATGTATATTATTAATTGTAAATTTACTCATAATCAAAACATATCTATTTTCAACATTCTGTTGATACGGATAACACGTTTGGATAAAGAAATCATCAAAATAATATATTGCAATAAAGTAAATGGATAGAACCAGCAAGATGGGATAAGAAAATAAATACAGGAACATGAGTTAGATATGTTTCCCGTTTAACACTACTAACCACAGTCTCATAAATCCAAACTGTGTTTAGTTAGCTGACACACATACAATGGGACATATTATTACATAAAGAAAAATCCTATCATTATTTAAAATACAATTAATGTTATTATTACAATGTCCGAAGTTACAATTATAATGATGATAACGCTCGATGAATAAGTAATCCTTTAAATGATTTAATACCATGATAATCAAACATCAGTTTATAAACAGGATAAAAAGACATATGTAAATAACTAACAAATGATATTTTAACACAGTAGTAAGGGTATATCTTGAACATGATCTACACTGTATCCTTTGAGTATTCGCAAACTGAAACAGTCAATCAGAATATGTTTTAAAGCCCCTTGTCAATGTCATGTTATAAACTGATATTGTTTACATGATAATGTGGTAGTGACATGCGTCAATGACTCAAGATATAGACACACAGCACAAATTTATAACAGAACAGAGACGTGGTGATGTTCAATCAAATATATCACCTCAGGCGCTTTACTTAGATTGTAAACATGTACATGTAGTTCACTCAAATGATATTGGTAACATTTATCTGCAAACGTCGGTTAAATTCCTTTATATATCTAAATATGTCAACAAGTATGCTGTCTAATGAAAAAACTTCATTTAATCGAGATGTTGAGAAAATACACACACACTTTATTAAGTAAACAAGAATAACACAGATGATAACAGGACAATTTGATCTTATGAATCTGCATTGCCGAGTAAAACGTTAAAATCTAAATAGTGCATATTAATTTGCATTTTGGTCGTGTTGATATTTACTAAAAATAAAACCAACATCCTTTTTTCGTATTTTTGTATATTAATCTCTGTATTTGACCTCTCTATGTGTGTAAGCACCACATACAGAATTATTTTGTTTATGTATGTAAGATGTCAAGAGCAGAGAAGGAACACTTGGCGGTCACATAAACCATGTCACTCGTGTAACCTCTCACTTTAACATTAATAGTATATGGTCGTGTCAAATGAGTACCGGAGGAGTGCCTCAGAATATGCCATGTTTTTTTGTTATTTACATGCTGGTGATAGAATACGCTGAGAGGACACGGTGGCATGTTTAACATCTCCGCATTATACCATCTTTAGTGTTATGGGCAAATAATCTCTACTACTAACTCCCTATTTGTCATGTTGCATTTGTCATGCCGTATACTACACAAAGTGTGTAAAACAATATGAAAGAATACATTTTGGGAAAGTGTAGGGGAAGCGCGTGAGAGTTGAGATTAATCATATCTGATGTGTTTTTAAATATAGAAAATTATATTAAAAATAAATGGAAATTCCAATCTGTTCACTGATAAAACCGTTGTTCACTTCACTTGGAAATTTTTTTTTAAAGTCGCATTTTTATAGTATATAAAATATAATTATCATGATATGTTTCTGGACAAAAATTAAATATAAGCATCAGCAAAGGTTAGGAAATCGAAACAAACATTAAAAACATGTGGTACTCACGTATTTCAAGACGTATGGAATGCCCCACCTGCGTCGAGGTGAGGTATAAATATACAGAACCCAATGAAGGCAAGTCTTTGCCACTAATCAACATTCCTTTACTGAGATATGTAAAACCTCTCTTTGATTTATTACGTATGTACACTATAAACATCGGTAAACTTTTTTAACAAGGCACATAGTAATTTATTCAATTACATTACAGGTGATTACTTTCATTTTTATTTATGAAAAAAGTGTTTTAATAATCTTTGCAGCGATACGGTATATTTGTTTACAGTGTTTTCAGTGTTTGTAGTCGACAATGTTTTGGATAATCCTATATCAGCAAATATTCGGTGTTGAATTTATCATCAATCTAAAACATATCTGATTTAATGATACCATTAGAGTGAGCATTATTCAATAAAATCACTCATCAATGTTCACTCAATTTACTGTGTTTGAAAGACTGATATAGAAATATCCCACATTTATGCTATTAAATCCCGCTATATTGTGCTCAAAGTCTATCAGAGACATCTCCTAAAACATCGTACATTTAATCTATTAGAGGACAAAACATATTTCATTAACGGATGACACGAATGATATAAATAACCAATTAGTGATGTCATCTGTATCTGTGTAGCCGCAGCATCTCTCCGTGTCAGCCAAGCACGCTGCATTAGCCCCCATACTAACACTCCCTTAATGGCCCGTATTACAGTGATACTGTCGGGCGCTACAAAACACAACAAATCTCGATTCAATATGATTACATAAAATCAATGGACAACGACAGATCTGAATTATTTAGGACCAGAGCATAACGCAATGTAAATATAACGGTTGATATTTGCCTCTCCGATATGTATTGCAGTTTTATTTGCTTGTGTTTGTTTTTAAGTTGATTAAAACGGTTTTTGTGACTCTTTTTTTTATAAGACTTAACATTCATATCGAAATGGGAAATAATCAAGTATATTACCATGTTACTAAATTTATTGAATTCATTAATATTTTTTCTCTTTCATCAAATATTATACATTTGTTCCTTGTCAATTTTTCAAAATTTTTAAGATGACTTTATCACATATAGATATATACAAAGATTGTCTCGGCTATTCACTCCAGTTTATATAAGTTTCTAATTTTTGTTGTCTTTCAATTTCCAGGAAACAACAATATTATATCAGAATCCAAAAGAAACAGGACAGCTTACACAAGACACCAGATACTCGAATTGGAGAAGGAATTCCACTTCAACAGATACCTTACGAGGAGAAGACGTATAGAAATAGCTCATACACTGTGTTTATCTGAGAGACAAATTAAAATCTGGTTTCAAAACAGAAGAATGAAATGGAAGAAAGAACACAAATTGCCAAATACGAAAACACGACTTATGGACGCCACAAACTCACCTCTGGAGCCATCACATCACCATTTTGTTCACAGTATGGCCGCACTTGCAGAGTTAACACCTATCTAGTCAGTAAGCCTAATTTCATGTCCGTTACCTTCCGGTTTTTTTGACAAGAACTTCGGACATTGTGACCATTCCTGTGCTGACATTCTTGTGATAGAAACTGGATGTAACAACCAAAATACCAAAGATTAAAATTGATTTGTGACTTGACGAAAACCTCGGGGTGTAATGTATGTGTGGTTTGTCGTGAAAACGGAGATTTGTAAATAGTGAATAAGTGCATAATAATTTATGAGCGAGTCTGGACTATGTTATACCCTAGTGTACATTGTAGTTGATCTGTGTTAAAAACAGTATTGGAGAAAATGTGAATTCCCTGTATTATCTACAAACTTACACTATACATGAAAAACTTTATACTTTTAGTAAAAAAATATATAGTGAATATTTGGAGTTGTGTCGTTAACGTAACGTACAATTTTCTCGTTGAACTGTTCATTATGTGTTCTACAAATTTTCCTCTTTTTTATTTCCACATTTTATATTCGTTTAGATATTTTATAAAATAATGTACGCACTTTGTTAAGTTGTTCAGTCTCTATTTTAGGAAGTGATTTCTCATTTGATAGTAATCATACATTTTGCCGTTAACGTCAATCCTTTTAGGAAAACACATTATTATTTCTTTGAAAAATGTTGGACGCTGTGATATTTAAACAAATATTGAAAACAAACGTCAAATTGCGTGACTTATCAACATCGAATTATTACTTCTTTATCACAAAAAACCCCAAAAGCCCATAATATCCTGGGTTTTTTCTTCAAACAATACACATGTTATTTCGGTCAAGGTCGTCAATGCATTTGGGATATATTCTGTATCCAAATAACATGAGATCAGATTGTGTTACAGTGCAGCTGTTTTATACACGTTAGCGTACACGCATTTTAAGGGGTAAATCTGAAACAAGTGAAATAAATAATACAAAATATATTCATCGAAAAAAATATTAAATACAATAATATTTTCCCAATCTGAAATTGCTATGATCACTAAAAATAATTGAGATACATTAGTTTTCCAGTGAAAAATAAAATAAAAGATTGTCAATACTGAAAGGTAAGTGTAGAATACACTACAGCAAGATTTATATAGAGTAGTGCTATCAAAATTGCTAACAACTTGTTTTACCATAAAACTGATTTACAAATCATTTTTCTAAATAAATAGCAATCTTTACCCTTAACAATTACTGAAAGTAATAATGACGTCACATAATTAATGAAAATGGTAATACTCTAAGAAGATACGAGTTTATAAAAGACATAAAAACAAAATCATAAGAAATGGTTTGATGAAAGTCAAACCAACTTTATCGGGTAATGTTATGATTAAACAATAAAACAACATTAATTTAATTTTTGTCAATGAAACAGCTAATGTCAACATCATTGACATTTACATTGCTGGATTACCAATTAAGTTTCCGTGCTTAAATGCACTTTCCACACGAAAAAAAAATTAAAGTACATTAAAAATTAATGTGTTACACCTTAGGATGGTAATGGCATGAAGGTCAAAACAGCATGAAATAGCGCAACATGAAAATGAAAATTGACATGAGAATATATTAAAACTTTAAGATAATAATTGATGCACCTGCAACAGTCATCTTTTATGTATATTTAAAGTATACTTAATGTCAAAAAGTGGACACAAAACGGTTGAACGTCGAATATCTGTATACACAAACATTGGAGATAATAGTAATTTACATGTGTTATTAATTAATTTTAAGTTTCATTATAAATGCAGGCACATTTAGACATGAAGAAAACAACAATTTCCTTAGTCCATATTTTAGAACTATAGTGTTTTTTTGTTTTTTTTTATAGTTATATAAATGCACAAATATCCTGTTAGTTTGATGACAAACAAACCAATAAGTGTATGATAGATATGTTCCATTGTGAAGACGCTATCATGCTATATATCCAGAACAAAATATGACAAATATTTATGTAATCTGATCAGCTGCTAGATTTATGAGCTCTAATCGAGGTCGTATATATATGTCAAAATAAGACAATTATTCATCAGCTACGTTAACTGCAAAAATGTATGAAAACTATTTCCGAAATTTGACGCTAGATGACAAGACTTATTTTTGTTGCTCCATTAACTAACTTTAATACTACTCCTGATCACTTTCACTAGTTTCAGATTAGAACTTGTCGTTTTGTTTTTCGTTTTTTGTTTCCGTTACAAGACAAGTTAATACCTCAAATCTTTTGTCAATTTTGTCTAATTCCGATTCACTATAGGTTTATATTACTCGTTTCCATCCTCTATAAATCCCCTACTGTGAATAAAAAGTGTAATTCGAAATAAATAATATCTTGGATTTTATTTCTTTATTTAATTGCGGTTGTGATGGATGCGTTCTATGATCTGGCTTGACACACATGTCGGATGTCATACAGGAAAATTTACCAGCGTGTAACAAGTCTATCTCCAACCGAAACTTGAGAAACGAGAAATGTCTTAAATGGCCTAGTATTTGTTATCAACTGTGTGTAAGCTTAGTATTTCCGAAACGAATTTTATTTTGGTACTTGAATGGTTTTTGTTCAAGTGGACAAAGCATACAGACAGAGAATCCCTATCAAAACATAAACTTCTTATAACGTTAGAGCGATAGTATTGACTGTTTTGTGTTAGTTGATAAGCTGTTGTAAAATATGTATTAAGCTGATCTTCAGAAAAAAATCCTTGCTGCCTTTCACACTATGAAAGCTATATAGCATTGCACAGACTCAGAGGTGCCTTTAAAATTGTTTCTGAAAGACTACGTCTGAAAGTAAATGCCAGGAATTGAAAGCAAAATCAAAAGAAAAAAGTTAAATGTTCAGCAAGTGAAACCATACCAATGGTGTCGGATATCTGTGACTGCGGTGAACTTTTCTTGCAAATATTTTCTTTTTTCATGTTAACGATATTTGCATGAAAACTTCCGATATGACTCCCCCATAATAAGTTTTTATTCCAAACAAAAATACAATGCTGGATCTGATTTCACATATGAGAAATATAGAAATGAAATTTTCAGTGTCATTCATTTAATTCGTGGTGTCTCCTTCGACCAAAATATTTGGCAGGTTGTTTTCATGACACATGATACATTTGCAAACACGACAACCACTACAGAAAAAGGGAATTAGGTATCCTAGATTAAAAGCTACTGTGATATCAGCAATTTTCGCGCGGGGATTATTTTCGCTAATTGTCATGGTAATCTTAACGAATTACCCACGAAATCAAGTGTCCGCTAAATTTTTTAACATGAAAATTGAGCTCCATACAAACATATAATTTTACAGTGCATTGATACAAAGCATGAGATTCATCATATGCTATTATGAACTTTTGCATACTGAACCTAGCAATAATGCATTTGCATGTTATTTACTTCCATCAGAATCGTGAATCTTGACAAACAGAATATTAAGAATAAAAAGCCAAGTCCAATTCAAAATATGTTCCGGTTATGTTTAATAATATAATTTCCTGAGAGACCCCTAAGCTTTCCAGATTTGGATAAATTCATTAGAAATCATACACCTTCAAATACAAATCAACATGAAAGACACTATCGAACAACACATCATATATAACATGACATTTAGATTTATATTAATGATTTGGCACTGGAAAATATTCATTAAACTGATGTCTTAAACTGCATAAAAGAAAAGGAATCGTCTTAACATACATACTGGACTCTTCACATTTCTCAATTTGGCTGCCGTATTGATGAATAAAGATTGATTCCACGTATACGTACAATTACATTAATAGCATAAGAATATAACATTAGATATTACCTGCCTTGGATTCATATCTTTGTCTGTATATGCATGTATCATTAGTTCAAGATATCGGCAAGTGAAGACCTATACTATTTTTTACCTATCGTAATCAACAATTTCTGACAATCAAGATACTTTTTTCATCAAAGCTAATACGTCAGGTGCTGGATGAATGATAGCGACACAGAAACTTTGCTTTGACATTACTCGATATGTCAGTTATCTTGAGTATCACGTTCCAAATCTGGATCACAAAATAACTTTGTAACGTCGCAGTGACATACAAATAGAGATTTATCAAAATATATATAATGTACTTGTATCCAATAAAACCATTTAATGAAAGCACACATGTAACTGAGAAAGAAAACAATAATTATTTGTTTAATCAAGGCATGTTCTATAATGACGTCATTTAAAACATATTTGAATATGTCTCATAAAACAAGACACAGTAACACTCATATGAATGGAATGCTGGAGTCCTCCGTCTCATGTTGAATATTTACTGAAGTTATGATTGCCAAAACTGACAGTGAGATGCTTGAATGCGATTTTGTCCAGTATTTGGGTTCAAAGTTCACTTCCAATGGATGGTCAAGGTTATCGCCCATTTATGGTAGTCGATTTTGTGGTCCGTTGTTAAACTCATCATTTCATAAAACTTTCCTTTTTAGACATGTTTATCACCAACATATATTCTTGATTTTGTCTTCATGACACAGGTGCCACGTGCTTCCGGACTTATGCTCTAGACGTACGTCTCCTCTGAATTATAGAATCGCCTTAGGCATTTAGTGATGACCGAGTTGTAAACTTGTCAAGACGCTAACTACTGTCACCAGACAGCGAATCCCTGGAACCACACACTCATCATAAACAATGACGGGATGTCAAACTTTGATGAAAATGTTATTTTGTATGTTTATATACACAAAAGTATACAAATATTTAAAGAGGAAATCTTGTTTATTTTATTTTGTTGTTAATACGCACTTTAATCTTATTTTTAAATAAACAGCTAATTCCCAAATTTCCTTCTCACCAGGTGGTCCGCTGCAGTTTAAAACACGTGTTGGAACAAACGTATTTTCAATTCATCCTTTTTATACCTCTGCTATTGTCGATTGTTACAGGGTTCCTGTGATGTATTGACAACGAAATGCTAACCAAAATGAAATGTACTTTGATTT